TACAACACATGAAAAAGAAACATTGGCTTTTATAAATGCTTTGGAAAAATTTAAACTTGATAAAAACAAATTTATTTTTCAAACAGACAGTTTGTATACAAAAGATTTTACAAAATATCGAATAAAAGAATCTTACAACAAAGGCAGACTTTTAAGATGGAGCTTAAAAGCACAACAGTTTGATTATATATCTGTATATATTTCAGGAAAAGAAAATTACTTAGCAGATACATTAACACGGGAATGGAAGCACTCAAACCAGTCTTAGAAGATAGTCTAAGAATGTTGGAAAAAGAGGTAGAAGAGCTCTCTGAGCAGATAAAGAAAAAAGAAAAAGAAATCAGCCAAATAAAAGCCATACTATTTGAAGAAAAAGGCAAAGAAGAAAAGAAAAATGAAAAGGCTGAAACATCGGAGGAAAAAGAAAAACCTCGTTTTGATGAGGAAGAAAGAACAAAAACCCATTATGTAATATACAGGTCCTAATCAAGGGATATTTTCCCAATGGAGTCAAGCAGCTATGTTTATAACAGGACAGCCTGTCATACATAAAAAATTTTCTAGCCTGTTTGAAGCAAAAGAAGCACTAGCTCAGTTCAAGGCAAGCTATGCAGGAAAAGCTCAATCGCCAGCTATAGCAGCACAAAAGCAAATGCCTATATTAGGCAAGATTCCAAGCAACAAACCACTCACGATTGGAAGCATACAGTCTAAACAACAGAAAGAAGAGATGACCAAGCTTACAAAAAACATTTTTGACCATGAATTTAAGTTTGTGGTTAATTATGCAGATGAAGATAAGCAGACAAGTATTTATCCAGTTGATGGTTCATATCTTGGACCAAAAGCAATCGCTTTACCAGAGGCAGATCCAATGAAAGTATATATGATGTTCCAATCAGGGTTAATGAGTTGTATTTATTTCAGAGATGCAAATATGTTCCAGTATTTCCCGATCAACATCAAGAAGGCAGTTTCCCAATATGGTAAGCATGTACTCGGGAAAAAAGAAGGTTTTATGAAGATATTCGCCACCACACCAATTTTTGGGGACGGGGAGAAGTCACAAGAAGTAATACAACCAGCAATCCAGTTTTGTCAAATTGGAATAAGCAATGGAAATTATCCAGACATCGGACAAGCACAGCATGAGGACGAATTAGTTCAGTTCCTTAATAATTATGTCATAATTTTAAACAAAGGCATTAAGATCAAGGGACGAATTAATTATGCAGCAAAGTCCATTATCATTTGGAGTATGCAAGCACGAGATCCAGCAGAGATAGACATCAAGCTGCTCAACAAATATCTGGATACACTAATAAAAATACAATTTGAAATTCCAGAAATAATCAAGAAGGAAATCTGCATCAGGCTACAGAAGGAATTCACAGAAGATCACATTTGTGAATTATGCAACTCAGAATCACAAGGAGAGTTTGAACCTATTCAGGAATGATGTAAGCGCTTACGTAAGGAGGCAATAAGATAGTGGAGAATAATGGAGCAAATAGTGGAAAATGGAGGATCCCACCTTCTTTTCTTGTTGTAATAATAGAAAGGATCCTATGCACTATGTAATGGGATGGTGAGTCACCACCCACACCCACTAAGAACCTATAATGTAAAGTTGTCGGCCATGATGTAAAGAGGCAGAGTTGTATCTCTCGCCTATAAATAAGTGTCTCAAACTTCATTTGAGGACACAGCAATTTGAAATAAAATCCTTTCATATAACATTCTTCCTTTCACAAGAATTTATGCTTTCATATATAATGAGTTCCTAAATATTTAGAAAATATAAGAAGAAAGATTGAAGGTGTTAATTGATTAAGCGATAGTCTCTCTGGAGCACTGAAAGTTCTGAGAAAAGGCCAAAGCTGTTAGGCGTCAAGGCCATTAAGCCCAGAATTGTGTTGAGAGCAGGCGGAATCAGGTAACCCTTTTAATCAAGTGTTTTTATATATATCTTGTTAAAAATTGATATTAATTCTTTAATATTGCATGGAAATAAATAATTTTTGGAATATGTCATATAAAGAAATATATAGAGATATAAATTGCCTAAAAACATTAATAGAACAAATTGTATTATTAACAAAAATGTTAAAAGAAAATGAACAAACGTTATTCAACCTAGTTAAGGTTTATATATATAAAGAACATTCAGTAGAAGATGAAGTTTATTTCCAGATATGTGATAATATCACCTCTTCAATTATCAGGATTAAAGAGTTAATAAAGAAAGTCGAATATCAAGCATCCATTCTAAGTGTTCAAATAAGGCTAAGAATTCTAAATATAAGATAAATAAAGATAAAAAATGGAAAACGAATATCATGTTATAGAAAATATAGAAGGACAAGGAATTTATCTATCAGATATATTATTAGATAAAAAAGTAGTAACAAAAGTAAAGAATAAAGGAAATTTAGATTTAGAAAAGAAAGAAGGAATAAATAATAGTATACTAGAAAAACTAAATAGGAAAAATATAATACATTACGGAATAATGAATGGAGAATAACCGATTAGAATAGAACAAGCAAATTATAATTTTCAAGCACCTTTAGTTGAAATAAATCAAATAGAAAAAAGATTAGAAAAAATAAAAGAAGGAGATAGGAAAAGGATAAATTATATACATATAAACACGGTACAAATAGTATTACGATCAACATTTAGAGAAGGAATAAAAACACCCGTAAATATAAGAGTTGAAGATAATAGAATTATGCATAAAGAATCAAGAAAGTTAGGAGAAATAGAAGGAGATTTAGGGTATGGAGTAATTAAATTTAATATATCATTACAATTTCCTATACCATTATCAACTAAGAAAATTAATAACTGTATAGGAATAATATGTAATTTTCAAGAAAAGACATTAATGGAATCAGGAGATATACCTATGGTTGTTTGTTATAGAATAGCCTATGCATTAAGTAATAGTAGTTTAAGTATGAATTATCAAAATCAAGAAAGAATATATACAGAAAAATTATTCAATGAAACCAGTACTATTATTAAAAATGATAGAATTCAAAAAGAATTTTTAAGAGAACATAGTAGACGATCATTTAGTAATCCTACAAATTTAGGAAAAATGAATGAAAATAGTTTATTAAAAATTCAAGAAATTGAAGAACCTCATAGTAGCAATAGTTTATATAAAGAAGATAAAGAAATAGAAAAATTAAATAAACAGGTAAATGAATTAAGCTCATTAGTAATAAAATTAAATAATAAAATATAAAAATGGAAAGGAAAGATATAAATCTTGAACTAGCTGAACTAAAAAGAAAAGAAATCAAAGAAATCGATTATTTAATAGAAAAATTAATTCAATATAAATATATAGAAAAGGATGAACAAAAATTAAAACAGCTAGATTATGATATACAAAGACATAAGCAAAAATCAAAAAAAATACATAAAATAGGACCATCTAAAACGATAATATAAAATGGTATCAGAGCAAGGCAACGAGCTAAAAATAAGAAAATAAAAATGAGTACAAAAAAGATATATTTTGATATAGAATGGAAAATAAAAAATATAAAAACGGATATAACAAGGTATATTTATTTACATGAAATTACAAATTTAGATTTTTATTATGACATGATGATAATATGTGATAAAAAATTAAAAAGATTAATACAATTACAGAAACAAGTAACTCTTGCATAAAATAAAGATAAATGTTTGAAAATAAGAAAGTTATAGTGCCACTCCATTATGTATACCATTATGTAAAGCTCTATGTACTTATAGCATTGTCCTTCAATTAAATTGATATCAACTTCTCTAACATTTATTTTTGTTATTTTTATGTACATTTATATGTAAAAAATAATATATATAATTTAAGAAAATTTAAAATAAATTATCCAGTTCAACAATTGACATGGTGACCTGAAGACTTGCCCGGGTCGTTTTTTGGGTAGAGTTTAAAAACTATGATATTTACCTGTATAGTTGACCAAAAAATTGTTAAGATGCTTCATATTCTTGGTCGATTGTGACATTCAACTAATAGCAATAAATCATGTCAAGCACAATTTAGCCCATTGTCATTTTCTTATCGTGTCCATTGTTCATTTAGTACCAATGAATTAAAGTGATCTGACCATAGTTAAAGCTAATTACGCTAATATGAAAATTAATAATTAATCATTTTCTTTTTATAGAAATCCAAATTATATGATGAAAATCAATAGCAAGTAAACTTATTAGCTCATTTGCTTATAATTATAGAACAAAATAAACATAATTAAGCTTCCGATCATCAAATTTAAGTCGAAACTAGTACGTACTTTCTACTTAGCTATTTTAATTGGTAATATAATCCCAACCATGATATTATTTATTTATTAACAAGTGAGTTACTTTTGCTCGACTCCTTTAACAATCGGCCAAAATTGTAAACGACTTGTTCGCAACATGATTTGTGTTTTCTAAAAAATGTTCAGTTCAATTGTTCGTTCTGAATTTATAAAAATAAATAAATAAAAGTTGTATGCTTGAGCTCGTTTCATTTAATAAATAAACTCATTAGTTATTCAAACTAAGCTCGTTTAAGTAAACGAATAAATCGAACTCGAGCCTTTATTAGTCGAACCGAGATGCACTTGCGGATAACTAGTTTGGAGATTAAATACGGGTTCAAATATTTTGGTAAATTTGAGGTCATATATTTGCTTCAACTTTAGTGAACGATGATTTAGTTATACCTATTTCATTTCTCAACTTAGGAACCACCAAATAAAATGGAGCTACTTCTCTATATCAACATGGCACATTTGAAATTAATAATAACCACACACACAAAAACAAAAAAGA